TGATACCCATGCATAAAATTTTAAATAATTTATTTCTATGGAACCATTTGTTATTTGGGCTGGGGAAACCAAGACTGAATCAGAGAAGTTTAAATCCAAAACCGTTTCAGTGACTGACCATAGGTATGTCACCCTCGTGTGTGAAATCCAAATCTGTAAGCCTAGGTTTCCATTGCTATTTAGGTTCCTCAGGAATTTTACCCCATCTACTTTGGCAGAAAGCACCACAGGTCCTGTGTCATATTTGCCAGGCACATGTAGGTGTTTCAGATAACAACATTCTCCTCATATGGCTGCGTGGGCTTACCCTTAGGCAATCAAATGCCATGCAGAGAGTCTTCTACGGGACTATTTCTGTCCTGAAGAGTGAATGTATGTGTGCATGCAAATATACATATGTAAAAATGTTTTTTGAATGTGATTATAAGGCTGAGACTAAGCCTGGAGTATTCAGTTCATGAGGAATAGATTTATAAGGTGTGAATGCAGTGTGCATGCAGAAGTAACTGAACTGAACATACCAGTGCATGAGGCAAATAAACTTCTGCTGCATGGCATTTTCAAGAGCTAAATTGCCAACTGAGTAATAGATAAATGATTCTGAATATGTTGGCCACTGGAGGTAGAGTTGCTTTCCTCTCCATACCTCTCTCCTATTTGGGATGCTGCTGTTCCGTGTTGTCTCCTGTGCTGCACCAGCTTGTCATGTGGCAGCCTCCCTGTATCTGTTTCCAGTGAGTCACTGCTTGCTCACCACCATGTGCACTTGTGCTGCCACTTCAGTGCACTGCATTAACTTACACTGGAAAACCAGTTCCAGTTTTGAAGCTTTGCAAGCCAGTGCCTGTTTAACTTTGTATGTTTCCAAAGAGCCTGTACATCTTTGTATTGCTGATAATTTAAGAAAGACTCCAATGTTTCATAGAGCCTAGGACATGGCTGCTCCAACTCAGAGGAGTTCAGTGCAGTTCTATGCACTCTCCCTTTACCTTTTCTAAATCTTGCATTTGGTTTGCTGATACTCACTTGAAAAATGAGAACAATGAGTTGAGTTTCCCTGAGATGGAACAAAACCCCGGGCCAGTTCCAGAAAAGAGTGTTGTAAGAGAGAGGATTGCTGCCATCTCAAGTCTCCTTTTCCGAGTGGCACCTGCTATTCAAAGCCTGCAGCCCTTGAGCTTCACCGTCCTGCTTTGTTATTGAATCCACCTGACTCTGGGATATATCACCTGAAGCTTGGGTCTGTGTGGCAATGAAACCAGGCAGTCTCAGTTGGGTTTTGTTGTAGAGCAGTGCCCCTTTTTGTGGGTTACTGTAAAAGTCTGCATAAACATAAGTATTTAATTCTGTATATCTTCATAAATATGGGCTTTACAGACTTAGTAGTGGTAGCATGAGTTCACTTTGGGGACAAGTGAGGGACATAAAATACTTGGTGTTTTCTAGAGACAGCTGTGGTCTAAATCACTCGCTTGCTATTTGATCTCTTAGTAAGAAACCCAAATTACAGATGTCTTTTGAGCACGGATAAATAACAAAGACTTCTGCTGCGAATTGCCCACAAGATACGATTTTTTTCGAACATTGACCATAATAGACATTACAGATCACACATACAAGTGGAGTTTATTCTTTCCTTACTGGAACAATCTGCCTCATTCTTTGTTCAAATCTGAAGTCTTAATAGTTTGTATCTTAAGCCAAGAAAAAAATCTAGTAGTAAGTGTGAAATCATGCCTTTTTTCAAGGTCGTTTTCCATCTCCTTTATTACAGAGAGAAAAGTTCTCATTCCTTTCCTGTTCTTTTCCTACCAGTGACTCACTCTTGGAATTGAAAACCAGTGAAATACGTATAAAGGAGTAAAGTACTGTGAGGGATACATAAAATGTTCAGTGTACAAGCAGCAAACTCACAAGCTGATTACTCACAACTGCCTTAAGTGGTGGAGCATTTTGCAGTTTTGTTTGCAATCTGCTTGTACAGAAGGGATTCCAGGTCCCTGCTGTCATCAAAGCAATTGTTGTTCCTGAGCCCTGTAACCTTTCATGATGCCAGTATATGGATGGCTCAGCACAGTACCTTCCATGTGTTGCTTTGCTTCTATAAAAGCAGAAAGAACTACCTGCGGAGCAATGATCTATCCCACTACAGCTGACTTTACAAAACCATCGCAGTCTTTTTATCTGCTACAGGTTTTGCATGAGCACAGTCTTCATCTGAATGCGTTAGAAAGGCATTTCCTGCCTTGGGGTTGCCTGCTAATTTGAACAAAGTTCATTGCCCAATGCTTACCAACATCTTCAGGTAGAGCTGACAGGCTCCAAGTCACGAAGTTGCTTTATTTAGAATTGCTTTTGTACTTCATGCTTGTATAAATATGGAGTATATGGCAGACCCTTAATGTGTTGCTTGGTTACTGATGTATTAATCCCAGTAACTTGATCTACTGACAGCAAGATGTGGTATCCCCACATTTCCTGCTTCCTTGATTCTGGATTCCTGCTGCATGGGGGTTCCTCATCTTCCAGTTTCCATCTTATTTCTACTTTGAATTTATCTTGCTCCTGCCTTTGGTTCTTTTCATTGTCTTGCCAACTTATTAAAAAGCCCTCCTAGTGCCTGTTACCTATGGTCAGCTTTCCACTCGATTTTATCTTGGTGGGTGGAGCAGATGATTCTTTGAGCCTTTGTTTCTTCAGCCTGAAAATCCTTATTGTGACACTTTTCTTCAGCATTTTAGCATCCCTCTTTACATTTGCCCTCCTAGTTTGCTTCTCCTTCCCCTCCCAGCATGCAGTACTTCAGTGTCAGTCTCCGGAGTGTCACCAGTATAGGTAAAACCACTTCCTTGCTGCTGCTGACCACTTTGGCCAGTTGTGTATACTGCGGTCATGTCATCTTGTTTTTCTAATAATCTTGGTGGAATTCCCTTCAATTTGTATGTTATTTTTGAGCCCTAGATCTGCTGAAGCTTTTTCAATGCAGTCATGGTTATTGTTTTTTGCATTTAGACATCTTTTCAGAATCTATCAGGATGATAAAACAACATTATTTCAGGAAGCCTAGTTCAGCAGGTAACATATTATTTGATGTTGTGGGCGTAGATTTAATGTCCCTCACTATCAGGGTAAACAATCTATTGAGTTCTATTTTGTGTCAGACAGACCCTAAAATAAATGCAAACAAGAGTTAACTCTGTTTGATCACTAGAGCGACATATCATAAAGGATGAAAATCAGGGCCTGTATATAGGTTTTATTTATAGGTTTTATCAGAGTATGAGGTGTCATGGTTGTCTAACTATTAGGAAGGAAAAACTTAAGGGCCTTTTGTATATTTTAAGTATGGGCTTTCTCTTTTTTGCTTGAGTGTGTACACAAATCTGGATGATACTGAGAACAATATTACTAGATGTGCTGTTATAACCATGTAGACTTTGTGCAAAACTGGAATGGACCTGGTCAGCAAAGTGCCAGAAGAGCTGTGTAAATCTGAACTCTGGTGTTCTAAGTGTGGCATAGTGGAATAGTTAATTGTTTCTCTAAGTTCTTTCTCTTTGATACAGGATTGTATCTTTCTCTTTGAGTGGAATTGTTAAGTTTGTTTTTGAGTAAGACTAATGGCATCTGCTGATATTGGCACTAGATTAAAAATATTAAACTAATATTATTGCCAACACTCGGTTTTGTAAATGTTGCTAGTGAAGCAGGAGCTGAAAGCTGTAAGGCTTTAAAAAATTACTCGTACATTTGCAGTGCCAGCACCCTTCTCTATTGTTGGTGCTTTTTTCCACCGGAGTTGCTAAAAGTGCACCTTCTCTAAAACGCTACAGCTGAAGGGAGGCCGTAATTACAGTAAGTGATACAGCAAGGTCCCCGCTGTGAGTGCTGCAGATTTGGCTGTGCATGACTCACTGACTGTCGTTCCAGACTCCTCAGTAAATCTGCTTTGCCAGGGGAAGAAAAATACCCTGCTCATAAGCTTTGAGTACTTGCAATGTGGCAACAGGCTATTTTGTGAGGGCTGCTGGTTTTGTAATGAACCCGCCTCAGCCTTGGAGTCGTGGTTTCAAAATAATCATGTTCAGGCAGGGAATTTAAATATTTACAGCTAAATAAATAGGCAAAATAAGAGGGGGCTTAGTATTTCCTTAGTATTTGGATGTGTAAAAAAAACCAGACAGACTTGATTAATTCCTTAAGTACAATTTTAGCCATCATTTTCTGAGGTATATTTCTCATGATATTGTGAGCAGCGTATGGGATGAACACCTCTGCGCTCCCAAAAAAGTCTAAGCCATGAACTTATTCTTTGGTTGTTGATTTGGGCTAGCTCTCTTGTATTACAGCAGAATAAAAGCATGCACAGATATAGTTTGGTACCTGGTCCTATCTTCATGTGAGGGTAAACTGCTCAATATTCTCTCTTGTTCTGTGACTGTTCCCTGCCCTTCCTGATACAGCATCCCAATTCTGTTAGACAGAAATTATTTCTTTGTATTTTCAGATGTTTTATCTGTCATCTTTCTTCCATAGCCTTCTTTCCTAGAGCACCTTCTTAGGCCAAAAAACGACAATACAAATGTGTTAAAATGTTCCCTGCACAGGACCCCAGTATGCTTGGGAAACTTAAAATGGTTTGGGGTAAAGTATTTGCAATGAAGTATTTGAGGAGGAGCAAATCAGAATGTTTTTATCATACCTAGAATAGTGATTGAAGGTACAGCATACATGAGAAATCAACAAAATAAGAATAGCATTGTCTTCAACAAATAAATACCTTGTCATGCATACTCGGTGCCCAACTGCAGCAGAACAGTTGGCACTTTTGCTTGATTTAGCAGAAGTAAGACTCTTTGATTTATCATTCCTCCAAATCTTTTCTTCCAGTCCAGCAGTTCTTAAACCACCCCAACAGTTTTTACTCTGGTTTTAGGAAGTCAGATATTTTGTATTCATATCCTGATTTGTAAAACAGGAAAATAATTAGGAGGAAATGTGAGAATTGTTTGGTCAATGTTTAGCAATATGTGCTTAGTAAGGTGTAACATGGCTCGATAATGCTTAGTAACATGTCTCATTTTTTAGTGTTTTCAATCAGTTGATGGTTTTTAGCAGATTTGTATGTAATTGTTAGAGCAATGTTGGGACTCAAGGGCACTGATGAAGTATCATCTCTATCAGAAATTCTTTGCCTTTAATAAAATACAACAGCAAAGTCCAGGAGTATGCTGTATCCAGAGATAACAGCGAGTTTTGCTACGGATTTAGAAAGTGTGAGGTTAAATTTTAGCTGCACAAATAAACAAAAAAGTTTTTGTGGGTTTGATGTGGCCCAATAATTCATGTAATAATTATGATTATAGCTGTAGTTATGAGTCTGTGATTCCAGATACAAAGCAAGAGGCTAGGAACAAGAAGCTTTGGCTACTGAACAGAGAGGAAGCTCTGTCACTACTGTCACACGCAGAGCTGTGGCTCAGTGACCAGTCACAGCAGGACACCAGAGCCATGGTTACCACAGGCCAGTGGAAGATGCTTTCTGTCTCAGCAGCTGCTAAGAGGATGAGAGGTCCGACAGATCTGTAGTGTAGCTTCTGAAGCCTGTCAGTCTACTTGTCTTTGTCACAGGCAGATAAGGAAATACTGGTAATGGTGTTATCTTTGTGGGAGTGGTCATCAGTGTCATTATAACTCCATCCAGAGGGTGGATTTTAATGTCCTGCAAACTCATTTGGGTAGCTTGCCTCATTTGTGGTGTTATCTTCTGAAAAGCCTGTATTTCAGGTAGACTTGAGAAATGCCTTCATGTTCTGTTGAAAAGTGATAATATTTGAAGAAACTTTTTCTTTCCTCTCCTTTAGAGCGTTTCCTAAGGCTTGTTCTGAACCAGCAGAAGTTTTGATATGCAGTGATAGTTGGTGCAAGTCATGGTCATAGTAGGCTGAGATAAATGGATGCTGAAAAGAGTGGGGAACACCACTGAAAGTAGAGTTCTTTCCATCTCTCACTTACACCTTCCTAATATTTTTATTACCCTGACATTGGCATTTTTGAGTTGACTGAAGGTTGAGCTGACAAAAATTCAACTGAAAGCAATATTTTTGGCAAGTGTTGTTTTTAGGCAGATTAGTTCCTTGATATAACTCAGCAAGTTACTGCATCAGTGATGGTATTGGCACAAAGGGAGTGAAGGAAATTCACAGGAAAGGGAGGTTTGACAGAATCCTCTGGCAGTAGCCTACATCTCTGCCAGCTTACTATGATCACTATAGGGCTGTGATACTCAGTTTTATGAGTCCTAGTAGTGGCTATGGCCACATCCTGTGAGAAGCTCGTCTGAAATAATTTAGCTCCATTGGTTCAGTTTTGTTGAAAAGATATTTGATGGCTTAACTTTGTACTGGCAGTTTTTGAGTCAGTTCAGGTACAACTTGTCCTTTAACAACCACTCTAAAGCTGGTCTAAGCTTCATCTCCAGCTCATTTAGTCCTGACTCATGCTGTTCAGTGATTCAGTCAGTCATGTACAAGGCCTCTACCTGCAAAAGGCAGGCTGTGATGTGAGAGCAGATCCTTGGAATCCAGGTGCATTGCACTGCAGGGAACACCTGCACTCCTTGTGCAGAGCTGCCCTTAACTTACCTTTCCCTCATTGTCTGCACGTGTCACCGTGCAGCCTGCCTCACTGAAAGAAACAAAAGCCCAGCTTAGATTCCCACAGACTTTAATGAGGTAAATAAAAGTGCAGTTTCTAAATTATGGTTGGTCATCCACTGATAAGCTCTTAAAAGCTTGCTGATCTGTGCTTTGCTTAAACACACCTTTCTTTGCTCTGAACTTTGCACTAAAGAGATTGCTTTGGTTTTTTAGTGCCCAGGGTAGTGCATGAAAACAAAGTCAGAAGAGATTGATTTTCTATAAGAAACAGAACCTAACTTTGAATTTCAGTAATATTTTCTGGTTTAAGAGTAAAAAAGGCCAAGATATAAATATCCAGGATATTTTACAAATATAATTGATAATATGTACTAATGAAAATGTCCAAACATCTGTCAGGTGCTTGTCTTCCCTTTTCTGAAAAGGGAATTTACACTGTGATGCTTGTTCTCCTTTGAGGTGAAAGCTAAGAAAGGGACTGTATTTGTTTGAACTCCTTACCGTGGATGGTACACACAAGAACAAACTAACACAGAATCTTTATTTCTCCTAGTAAGTAGGAGCTGATTATGAAACTTTATGGGAAACGATGAGCTTCATGCTGTGAAAGCTGGTATTTGGCACTTTGGACTTGAAATTAAAAAACAGCTTATGAAGATGTATGGTATAAAAATTCATGTGATTTGTCACAGTGTTTAGAGTTTTTTGGTCTTGCTTGAGTTTTTGAAGAGATCATTTCAGAAAGGTTTGTCATCCTGTATTAGGGAGTATAAGGAAAACATTAACTTACATATTTTTGCTCATGTCTGTTTGCAGAACTTTTTGATATAGAGCTCAGTAAACAGAGACCTCAGTACAGCTTGTTAAAATTTATCTTAATTTCAAATATATGTGGAAATTTAATCTCTGACATTCAGATTAGGCATAAATTGAGTTTTGGTTGTATGACTTTGCAGAAGTTGCTAAGTGAGATCAGGTTAGTTAGCAGATGAGAGTTAGCTAGGGTGTAAAAATGCATCTGGAGCCAGACTGTTGGTCAGCACAGGGCTATGCCAGCGAGAAATGAGGCATGGGACAGGATGGAACAAGATAAAGTGGGGTAGCTGTATTCATATAAATTTGAGCCTAGGCTGAGAAACCTTCCCTTCATCCTACCTTGGTCTTTAGCTTCCTGATTTAATTTTCCCCCGCTGTGAGTTGCAGGGTGTGGACACAAGTGTATAACCTCTGATTCTGGACAAGGTTGGTGCCTTTTGTATTGTGCTCTGCTATGTCTCCTGAGGTTTTTTTGAGCCCCTATTTCTTTCTCACCCTCCAAGTTTTGTCACATAAATATAAAAATGTATAAAGCATAAAAAAAAATAAGAAGCATAAAAATGTAATTCAGTTTTGATCCAAAGGAGTTTCAAGAGTTAAGAAATATTTCTCCAGGTAGATGGTCTTGCACAAATCACTAGGAAGAGATACTGTTCTTATAAAATAGAAGAATCAAGGTTACATTTGCTGTCCTGGTTTCAGCTGGGAGAGACTTCATTTTCCTCTTAGTGGCTGGCACAGTGATGTGTTTTAGAATCGGTACAAGAAAAATGTCAATAACACACTGATGTTTTAGTTGTTGCTCAGTAGTGCTTACTGTAAATCAAGGGCTTTTCAGTTTCCTGTGCTCTGCCAGCAAGCAGATGTGTGAGAAGCCAGGAGAGAGCAAGGCCAGGACAGCTGACCTGAACTGGACAAAGGGATATTCCCTACTACAGAGTGTCATGTTCAGTATATAAACTGGGAGGAGTTGGCCAGGAGGGGCTGATCACTGCTCAGGTATGGACTGGTCAGTGAGCGGTGATCAACTGTATTGTGCATCACTTGTTTTTTCCATTGTGCTTTTACTCCATTATACCATCACACTGTTTCTATTTCAGTTGACATTTACCTTAGTTTTTAAGGACTCTGGAATTGCTAAACGTGTTTTGTACTTATCCTTCTTTTTATTTTCTTTTTTTTCTGGTGCATTGCTTATTTTTTAATTGAAAGATACATTTACAACGGTATAGTCTTGGCATCATTATGGAATGCTTTATGTCTATTATTAAGAACTTTTATTCATTTGCCTGTAGTTTAAGTTACAGCAAGATTCTTCTGAAGACTGATGAAGTTAATCTGAGTCAAAATATTAGTATGAAGTTAGATTTTTTTTACTTAAGGTGGAAAAAACAAACCTCTTCGGGTAAACATATCCTAAAAGGGTAAGATACTTCTGCAAGTAGAATGAATACTTTGCACAGTAACCAGCGAGGGAATTGTATTATTTATATTGTTATTTATTATACTATATGTTATGTTAATATACTATATTTGATAGTATTTTATTGTAGATTTTTATTGTTAACTATTGCTTTGGTTTTGTGCCTTGTTGTTAGCTCGCCAGAGATGAACCTTTGTCCCATTTCAAGCTGCTGCTCTCACAGGAAACTATTGCTGGTACTTTAAACAAGAAAATAGCATAAATTAACTCCCAAAATGCCTTGTCATCTTCAAGAAAAAGACTTTAATTTAGTGATATGTGAGCTGCCCTGTAGCTGACCTCACTAGCCCTGGAGGTATAGAGCATGAGTTTCCCACCTCTTTTTCCTGATCCCTTAGTACAGTGTATCCATCACTGATAGCAGTCTGCCTGGGTGAAACAGTATCGTGGCAATTTTAGCTCAGGAAGTCCACCATCACCAAAAGCTTTTCGAGCTTTGTTAGTCTACCTGTCATCCAGCTTGCTTCCAGCTGATTGCCATCAGAGAAGAACGTGAGAGTGGAACTACTGAGTTGTCATGGGATGTTCAGCTGTGCCAGGCTGCTAACAGAGGATCTTCATACCCAGTTTCTTACGGGGGAAGCTTGTGACCCTAAGGGCAGAAGAGAGTATTGCTGTGTTTTTCCATTATGGAGGATCCCTCATGCCACAGGTTTTGCTTCCTCAGAGCATCTGCTTTGCATGTTTGTCACCAACCTGCTGCTGCTATGCAGGTGGGAGTTTGCCTGCTTGTTATCTGCCTGAGTGAGCTCTTCATAACATTGAGGAAATCGTTAAAGTTAACGAGATATGAAGAACACACCTTGCATGTTCCTTCAGCCACCTACACCAGGGTCTGCTGGCCCCTGATTCTCTGGCTTCATAGTTTGGAAGAAGGGCAAGACTCCTGGCATATCCAGTTATGGCAGGCTAGTGAACAGATGTGACCCTGCATACTCTGCTACTCTTAAAGGATGCCTTGTAATAGGATGCATTAGGATACTAATTGCCTGTGGGATTAAATTGGACTAAGGAAAAGATAATTACAAGCGCATCCCAAGTCCTTTGTACAGTTCTGGGAATTCAAGTCTTCTGCTGTGTCAAGATTAATGAGCAATATATTTTGGGAAGTGGCTTGACTACTCAAAAGATGACTGTTTTACTTTGGATGTCTGCTGGTGGAAGAAAACGTAGCTGTTGGCTGGAGGTGCAGTGCTGAGGTGATGCTGATGCTGTTTCATGTAGATGATGTAGACTCATCACTATTTCTGGATAAGGAATTATTCTCTGCTGTGGCCTCAAAGAGTTAATTTTTACACTGGGCTGGTGGCATGATTCAGTTGTATGTTTAGGTGGCTCTGCTCGGTGTTATCACATGATCCTCTGAGAGTACTGGTAGCAATTTCCCATTTAATCTCTCACAGTAAAGAGACACCTTTGCCCTTGCCCTGAGTTGGACTGGATGTACGAGAGGCTGGCTGCCTTGCTGCTTGTGCCGACTCGGTGAAGCCTGCCGGTAAGGATGGGGAGATCTCAGGGTCTGGCACGTGCTTGTTTTGGGGTGTGGATTTAAGCTGCTCTGAGAAGTGTTGCCCTTATGTGAGGTGAGGTGAGGTGGCCTGGAGATGTCGTGCTTGGGGACACCCCCTGGGGCGCTCTGAGGTTGCACAGGAGTGAAGCTTGTGTGAGCAAAGAAGGAACTGCAGCCAAAGCAGTGCTTTAGCGCTCTTGGTGAAGAGGCAGCTTCATTACTGTATTGTTTAAAACAATGGTGTATATACTGGTAGAAAAGGTCATATTTTTTCTGAGAGGGCATTGTACAAATAATTCGAACTGATTTACTTCCAAGTGAGGTGCCATGAGACAACGAAAAAAGGAAAACTAAGTCAGTTGCCCAGAGGGCACAGTCATAAAAATATCGCTAAATTCTTCACTGGACCTTCCGGACCTTCAAAGATGAAGGAGATTAGAGCAGGTCTGGTGTAAACACTCAACAAGGGTGGCAGAAGCTGTAAAGTACACACATTGGTTTTGCATTTAGAGAATTGAAAATTGAGAAAATAGTATAATTTAAGTATATGGGCATTTGTCCTTCTTTGAAAGTCTCCTTTCATCTTTATGTTAAAATGTGTTGTAAATTTCCTGTTTCAGAGTTTCTACATCAATTGCTATTGCTCTGTTGACTTTCATTGTAGGTTTTAAACCCTTTTCATGCTGACAAGTGTGTGATTCCATTTCTGTGTCAGTCTGTCAGCACTTCCGTAGTTCTTTACAAATGACTCTGTCCAGGTGCTTTATTTTGGCAAAGGAATTATTCTTTATCCTCTGAGATAGAACTGTCTACTTATATGATCAAATATTCCTTGTATCCACATAAACTTTTAACAATGCAAGTGTGCATTTTTACTGCCACCAGTATTAAAATGGAGTTTACTTAAATACCTCTGGTGGGAAGGGACTTAACTGTGTCACCGTGCCTGAGCTCAGAGGATGTATTTGTCACCCAGCTCTGGCCCAGGGATATTCAGTCCCCTCATCACCTGCCTTGTACTGCTTCCCTAATTTTTAGGGTATGTGTGTGCTCCTTTCAGTGCTGGAAAGCCACCAGGATGATACCCAGTGTGGTGAGGTGTCAGCAGGGCTGAGGACAGGACAGAGTGGTCAGGCAGTGCATCTGGGCAGAGGGGAGTGATGGACTCGTGGGGTGCCCTGTAGCTTCTGTTCTGGTTTGCCTCACACCTGGTTCCCTTTGCTGCCTGGAAATGTCTCTGCTCAGTGCACCAAGGTCAGGCATATT